GCCCGCCCTGCCTGCGGGGGCGCGCGGTCACGGGACAGCGCGCGCGGCCGCGGCGCTCAGCCTGATTGGCCCGGCGGCGCGCGAGCCCCGCGCGCGGCCATAATTGGGCTGGGGCGCGGGCGGCGCCCCCGCTGAGCGGCGGGAGCGGCTTCGTCCCCGTGTCCGTCCCGTGTCCGTCCGCGTGTGTGTCCCCGTGTCTGTCCCCGTGTCCGTCCCCCGCAGAGCGCCTGACCCGGCGGGTCCGCGGGAGGAGTCGCTGGTGCTCGTCCCGCCCCTGCTCGGTGCGTGCTCAGGGTTACAGTCAGCAGCAGCTTCACAGTAGGGCCACAGACCTGTCTGTAATCACATAGCACCGTCTGACCGCAGCTTGAAACGAAGAAATCATTAATTAATGCTTTCTCGTAATTCGCCTTTCAAATACAGCCCCTCTCAAGGAAAGCGTGCTTTACAATTACTCTGCCATTGGAGACCTACTGTTTAAATATAACTCATGACACCTTCACATTTTGTGTAATGTGCATTTATGTGTTACACATAAATTGTTAAAAGGTAAGACTGCAAAATCTATTTCCATGAAATAGTTTGGGTTGTCTTTTTTATTTTAGTACCAGGGACAGTCTTGACTGGGAATCTTGAACTAAGACTGGTATTTTCATGTCCCAAACTTGACTTGTGTCTGGGCTGTATGCACTAGAAAACCAGCCTGGATACATTGCCAGCAATGTCCCTTCAACTACGGGAGGAACACATTCCTACCCATTTACAATGTAAATGGAGCAATTTTAGTTAAAGCTCTTGAATGCTGAATGCATTAAGAAATTAGGAGATTTCTGGACAAAGATAACAGTTCAATTATATAAAATTACAACAACATCCTCTTCAGAAAATCGATCCTTTTAATTATCCCAGTAGCAAAACCACTCACCATTAAACAAGCACACCACCAATTTGGATGACAGACTCAGTGGAACAGCTTTTACTTTACCACCTCAGGGTATGGTGTTTTTCAGATAAGCTGTCCTGCAGCATGTCTCATTAACTTGATGAAAAACAGAAATCAGTAAAAACCCATATTCTCTAGTGCAGGTGAAAAACAAACTGCAAAGCCAGAAATACAAACAAAGCCCCAGTCCTGTGACGTCCTCCCCTCCTCTAACCCGTTACTAACCTCATCTGTGTTTTGCAACTTCCACGAGTGCTGCTGTTATTTGCTGGATTCTCTGTCTGTCGTTCTAGCTTGCTCAGTGGATCAGGAATTACTTCTTACAAGGACTGATGTCTTTCATTGTTTAGAACATTTGAAGAGTGAGGCATTGAGAAGTTCAGGGTGATGGATTCCAAAGGCACTTAGAGGGGTATTTGCCTTTTTTGTTTTCTCTTGGTAGGCTCAGGATTAAAGTTCTTAAACCTTGCTTGATACCTGTTGCTGGGAGAGAGAGCTGCATTTACTAACTTTGACAGGAAGAGCGGCCCAAATTAATCCTTAACACCAGAGGGATGCAAGACATTTCTGATATACTAGAAAGAGATGTTCTGTGGGACCACACGGGTTGTTTTTTTTCTAAATGTTATTTTTTATGACACTACTATCACTAGAAAGCTAGGTTTAAATTGTGTTTATGAGGTTTATACTATTTAAAACAATGATTTTAATGACACCTTTCAGTGGGCAAAGAGTAAATCTTTGATGAGGAAAGCATATTGCTGTGTAAAAAAAAAAGCTATTTTTCATTCAGCCCTATTCCTACAGATGAGTGAAAAGAGCAGGTGGTTTAGTATGTTCCTTAGGCAGCCAGAGATATGCTGAGGAAAGCAAAAATATAGCCATTTTGTTCCTGTTTATAAATTAGTTTTGAACAATACTTGCCTTTGAAAGATCTCAAAATATCTCACAATTATACATGTAGGCTGGCAAAAATTATCTACAAACATAGGTGATTAATCAGGATATAAAATCACAATTTTTTTTTATATTTCATATAGCACCAGTGAACTTGGTGTTAGTAATAACTGAAGTATTTGGCTGTAAACATGTTGTGTAAAGGATTAGAATTTGATCTTCATAAGGTTTTGGTGGACTAAAAAATCAAAAAAAGGTTTAAATCTCAGTGCATATTTGCTCACAGCCACTTTTGAAATCCAGCTGCTCTGTTCTTACTCTGCCCCACTTCCAAAACAGTGCTGTCTGCATTTATCAAACTGCTCAGGAAGAACACGATCTGCACCAAACCGTGCCGAGCCCAGGCCCAGCTCGGGCAGCTGGGGAGGATTGGTGCTTGGGAAGGGCCGTGTCTGCAGCAGCCCTTACCCAACCACCCTGCCCCGCCAGCCCTGGGGACCGTGCTAGCTGCGACACAGCGCCTGAAGCCTGGTTCCTCTCGGCAGAAAATCTGCAAAAACACTCTCAGACTCCCTCAGGGGAGCCCACAGGACTGTGGGAGCACAGATGACAGTCCCATCCCATCTCTGATTTATGTTCCTCAGCCCACCCTTACCGGCAGTGACACAGATGATTTGTGCTCAGGTTATGCACATCCTGCAGCCCTCATTTGAAATCCTCCAAAAAGCTTCTCTTCCTATGTGTGTTTTTTAACTCACTGACTTCCCAGTGACAAAAAGGATCCTTTCTACATTATTTCTTCTAGACATCAGAAACAAAAGTGGGACTAGATGAGATTTTATTTTATGCTATTTTTTTCTTGCTCATATTGTTTGAGAAGTTTCTACAGGGTTGAAACAGCTGCTGTGGTTAAATATTTCCTCTCTTTGTTTTGAGGACTTCTGCCCTTATATTTAATAGACACATGAATATCAGTGATCTGTCCCTGGCACAGGGCTAGGCAGAATGAAGGACTAGGAGTTTAGCCCAGGTTTGTAGCTTTTTGCATCCTGTCAGCTCATTGTACAGCTCTTTACAGCAGTGGGTAGGGGGGGAAAATTAATACAAATAAAAAGTTACTTTTGGAAGAAGCAGCACGAGGATGTAGTCGAAAGCCTGCCTTCTTTGAGTGAACCAGTGCCAGAAATTTCTGCTGGCACAATAGATGGGGTCAATCAAGGACAGGCAAAGAGTCTGGATACTTCTTTCAGCAGCAGTGCCAGCTGGTGACAGCTTAAGCTGCCCTTGAAATTGGACCTGAATCTTACATAAAGCAGGACCTTGAAGGTCTGTTACTTAGGCATGATCCCAGATCTGCAAAGCTTGAGGGCTCTTAAATCCAACCCGTTTAAAATCCATCCAGGAATCTCTGTGAACTCTGTGTTCACTTGTGTGTGTGGGAAAGGGATGGGAACTCAGTAGGGCTGGTAAAGCAGTAACAGCCCTGCCCGTATCCTGTGGAAGCTGTGTGATGGAGTTAATGTTCATGGGGCAAAAGCACATATTCAGGGATTTGACAGGCAGCCAAAAAGAATCCAGGGCAGCATACAGGATTTGGTGGAAAAGCAGGCAAGACACACAAGCAAAAGGCTACACCACAATTTCTGTTAGCACTCACAACACATAAGTCCCTTTTATGAGTGAAATGGCACATTCCAGAATGATGATTTTAAAGCGTTCCTTGGGACATCAGCCCTAGTTCAGGTCTGCTTAGTAACAGCAGAAATTAAATATTGTAACTGTTCTGCTTAACATAAGCTGGAAGTCAGGCTGAAGAAACGAGAGAAACTTACTGCAAATTGATCTTCATAGCGAATCTGAGCATGTGACATTTACTTAAAATAGTTACATGCATTAAATTCTTGCAGTAGGGAATTAGTTTGCCTCAACCTTACTGTCACATGTCCCTGGGCAGCTTGGTAAATACCTCCTTTTGCAGCCTATGAGTATGTGCAAGTGCATCTTTCTAGAAGTGCAGAATGTGTGTTTAGTAACACTGAAATTAAAGGACAGAAGACTTTCTGCACCTTCAAGTGACAGTTATTCTTAACATTTGAACACGTGTAGTTAGTAAATTATTAAAAGCAGAACTGTTCAGCAAACTCCTGCAAACCAATCAACAAAAAGCAAAGACTGGCAGGTCTTTAGATCAGTTGGTCAATCAAATACACATATTAACACAAAAACACGAGCTTCACATTATTTTCTTTAGGACAGCCCTCAAAAAGCCATAATGTGAACCACCAGCTTACATAAGGGGAGTGATTAGTGAAGAGTCAATATGAGTTTTGCCACCATGCATTTATTACCCTTTTCGGAAAGAGTTTATGCATTTCACCTGAGGAAAGTTCTCAAGGTGACTTCACTTGTTGCAAAGGCTTCTGAGAAGATTAGGGACTCAGCAGTGTACAACAAAACCACGTGATAACAAATAAACTAGAGAAGTTTACATATTACACTGTGTTATGAAATATCATTGATGTGCTGCATCATTAAGCAATCTTGGACTTTGTACCTAGGTTGCATAGCCAGCCTTGGTGCTTTACTACTACTAAAAGCTGAGACAATAAGAAACAGCTTGTTCACAACACTTGACTGTAAGGGGGAGTTCCCAGGGCTTTGCACAGGGACAGAATCAATCCCAGTCAGTTATGAGGTATACAACACACAATGATGCTGAAATGTGTGTATATCACATCAACAGAACTGGGGGAAAAAAGTTAGTAATTCCCACATGTAATGTGGAAGTGGTGTGAGGTCAGTTATTACAGAACAGCTAAACAATTTGTTTACATCCCCACCTAAGTCGTGTCCATAAACATCTGATTGTTCCTCCTCTCTTCTAGACTACATTGAGTCTGCCCAAGTCTCTGCTGAACGCCATCAGTGGCTTTGACTGAGCAAAGTTAAGTGAGACGATTGATTTCCAGGTTTTGTACGCAACACAATTTTTAATGGCCTGGAGTAAGACTTAATTCCAGTGCAGCAGCATATTGCTGCAGATAGTTATATAGCTTTGATTTCCCATGTCATCAG